GCATCTAGTTGCTCCAGATCGGAGCCAGATGGTATAGGCACATGCAAGTGGTCGTCTCCATCGTCGTCCACAAACATCATGCTTTGCCGCAAGTCGCCTTCCGTTGTCACATGCGCCACACTCTCTGCTTGCGTAGCCGCCAGCCTCTGCGCCATCAGCTGGTCTGCAAGAGAGACCTTTCCAGCTTGTCCCTGTTGCACAACCGGGCCTTTGGGCTTGGCCAGCTCTTTGATACTTGTCCGTGGCGACCTTCTGCTCTTGGCTGAAGGCGGCGTCCCCGCCTGTCCATTCTCTGGCACGGGTCCTCCACTCAAGGTGGGTGACGTCATGTAGGGATCTGCAAGAGCATCGGCCCCACCTCTGTAGTGGCCAACAGGGCTCGTCGTCGTCAGACCTCCCTTGCCACCACCACCAGGGACACCACCAAAAGGCTGCATTGCTCTTGAAACAAAGCTCCGGCTTCCTGGCGCATTGTCTCTCCCCATTGTGGTGGGAGACGGCAGCCCCTGTCGCGTAGGTCTGGATGGTGTCATCAGGCCAGTGCGGTCTCCATATCCACTCTGAATCTTTGCTGCTGCAGCGATCCTTGCCTTGGCAATTGCCATGGCATCTTGCTCTTCCACATTGAGAAGCCCGTGCTGCATCCACCCATCCTTCTCTGACTCGGCCTCGGCTGTCTCCGCCAGGGCTGTGTCTAGCATAAGCGCCTGCCATCCAGCATCCTGTTCGACATCCATGTCGACATGCTCCATGCCAGTCTCTGTCGCCTGTCCAGTAGCTGCTGCGCGGAGCGCCTTCCTCGCAGAGGTCTGCGCCGTCAAAGCTTCTGCAAGGTCGTGCTTGAGCTTCTGCTGGTCGGTTTGAAACTGTGTTCTCTCCTTGACGTATGCCTGTTTGATGGCCTGTTCGTAGCTGCGCCACTGCGCTTGCCCTTTTTGCAGCTCTGACTGAAGCTTGGCCACCTTCTGTTCGGCCTTCCTCGCCGAGTTGATGGCTCGCTGTATTTCCTTGACAATGTCCTCTTCCGAATCCAGTGTTTTCGCTGCAGTCCTCTGCTCTGCTATCACTTGGATATCTGACTGAGGCTGGTGCTTGTAAGCTGGAAACTGCCCCTTCGCATCGTCCTTCTTGGGGTTCTGCTTGTAGCCTTGCCACGGCTCCACCCAAGCCTCCTGTCCCGCCCCATACGAGTTGGAGTGATAGGATGCAGAGGCCGAACGCCCATCTGTAGCCTTGCCGCTTCGCCACGGCTTGCCCCACCCCTTCCATGACATATTGCAACGAACTGTGAAGGATGGATACTTCAAAAGTCTCAATGCTGTCCAGTGGTGAGGTGTCCCGTGATGCCCTACCAAGCAATCAAGAGATTTGCGAATGAAATGTCCTTGCCGGATACGAATCCTCGCGCAGGACCTCTTTTGTCGCAATCGCCTGTGCCAGGCTGGTGACTTAATGGCGGCGAGCGCACCTACCTAGGTGCTGGGGCACAAGCGATCCGCTGGCGGTCTTCCTGAGCCCTGGGTTTAGGGTTTAGGGTTTAGGGTTTAGCCAGGCTCGCGAAAAAATCGTAATTTGAGAGGT